CCCCCCCCCGGCTCGCACCTCCCGCCCCGCGACTACAAGTCCCATCTCGCCCTGCGCACACACGCATTACGCCAGAGCAAGATGGCTGACACGTCGGCTCCAGCCGGGGCCGGCAGCTCCGGAACGGTAAGGGCAGCAGGCGCGGGGCCGAAGCCGAGAGAGTCTGGGTGTTCTGTAACGCTACCTTGGCCTGGGTAACAATTTATACCCATAAATTCATGACCATCATAAGCTCCAAATTGAGAAAGGTCTTTCAGGCCTCAGGAGCCCCCCCTTCTTGGGACTTGGCGACGGCCTCCAGAGTTGGAGAACCTGTGTCGTGATTGGCTCATTCCCAGTTGGGGGCTGGGAATCCGGAACATCTCCTGATTGGTCCGAAGGTTACATTTTTGCTTTCTTATTGGCCAACAGAGAGATTCCGGTTTCAAAATATTTAGCTTCCCTGTTAGTATACCTCTCTTCTCGCCTGGTACCGTGTGTTGTTATAATTTTTAATGAAGTGGGTTAGGAAGACAAAAATGTTAACGTTATATGTTCAGTTAGATATTCTGATATAAATATTTGAAGGGGGGGAGAGTAGGGGGTGAGTGTGTGTGTGTACATATACACACACGTGTACGCCACTGAGTCAGAATCGACAGACACATAGCTGACCCTCCAGTGAATTTTCTGATGCTGTAAATCGTACGGAAGGCGACTGCCCATCTTTCTCTCATGGAACTCCTAGTGGGTTCCAACAACCGAAGAAGTTCTTGGGTTAGCTCCCACTTTGGGTTAGGGGTGCAAACACTGCGGAGTACGCCACTAGAGCTCCTAGACACCCCCCCCCCCATACTGCTTCTAAGAAATGTGGTGATCTTTTCATCGAAGCGGGCTGTCATATCTTTGTCTATGGGGCAACTGGTGGGTTTAAACCGCCGACTCCTGAGTTAGCAGCTGCGTTCTTAACCCCTATGCCAGCAGGACTCCTTTACCTTTTAAGTACTTTTCTCGAAGAGCATTTTGCTTGTCATTTGCTGTGTGTGAAACTATGTGATTGCATCCTCATTTTGTGGTCTTGGGGATGAAAAGCTCGCGGGGTTGCTGATTTTACAGAGATCTGGAAGCAAACAGTCCACAAACCCCGCTGATAACTACCATCTGGCCCGGAGGCGAACCTTGCAAGTGGTTGTGAGCTCCTTACTGACAGAAGCAGGCTTTGAAAGTGCAGAGAAAGCATCTGTGGAAACATTGACAGAGATGCTGCAGAGCTGTGAGTATCCCAGCGTCTTTTCTCCACCTTACATTATAATTGAGCAAATTTAGGGAAAAGTAGGTCATAATAATTTACAGGCTTTAAAAGTCAGATAGACCAAGGTGTAAGTTATTGCTCTGCCATTTAATAGCTTGGATAAGTCACTAAACCTTTTGAATCTCAAGTTTCCTGAGGTTTTGAACCTCACTTTTGTGAAACAGGATAATAGTTTGCACCTCAACATGTCATAAGAATAAGTGAAATGTGTGGATAGATAAATAGATAGATAGATAGATATAGATATTTATTTATATTTATATATGAACATTTCATGCTGAGAACATCATAAGCCCCTAATGACCTTTAGTTGCTGGTATTGTCTTTGCTTAGAGAAGGTACAGTTTTGTTGAGGAGCCAGACATATTTCTATGAAATAGAATCTGGCACATAATGTAATCAAATGCTGTATGATGCAGAGTGAAAATGAATAAATTTTATAGAATAAATATTTTTATTAAGGAAGAGATTGGAGGCTTAGGAACTGCTTTCTGCAGTTAATTTCAAACATATCAGATAGTTACTTTTTCTCCTTATCTCCTTTGAAGGAAGAAGGTCTGTCTGCTTGGTGGTGTAAACTGTGACCCCAGAAAAAAGACCTCTTTGTGTGTAACATTCAGCACAACATTAGAGTAAAGCCTTTCTTCCTCTACTAAAGACCATGCAGGGAACCCAGCTCAATACTAATTGTAGATACAATCCCCAGAAAGACTGTAGCATGACTATTGATTTTAGTTTCAGCTGCAGGCAGAAGTAACAAAAATTCACTCACCAGAGAACACGACATTAAGCCTTTGGTCCCTTCCTAGACATTTCAGAAATTGGGAGAAGTGCCAAGTCTTACTGTGAGCACACAGCCAGGACACAACCCACACTGTCAGACATCGTGGTCACACTTGTTGAGATGGGTGAGTACTATTCCTGTTCGTAATTTTTCAGCTCAGTCAGTTGAAGTTAAGAGAGGGAGGAATCACTACAAGCCAGCCATGTATGCTGAATGTTCTTGAATCACTACTTTGCTTTTCACTTCAAAGTTATTAATAGAGGACTCCCTTGAACAAACTATTTAAGAGACCTCCTAATTCCCTGTTGGAGTTTTTCTGAGGCTTCTTTTGAACTGGGAATTGAAACCATTCTTGCTTACACTGTTACTCTCCTTTTCAAGTTCAGCAGTCTGGATAGTGATATTTTTTTTAACCTTCTCTCTCAGGTTTCAACGTCGATACTCTTCCTGCTTATGCAAAACGTTCTCAGAGGATGGTTATCACTGCCCGTAAGTGTTTTTGAACAGATGTACTCCGTAGAAGTTCAGCTAATGCTTGTAGCATGAATTAGTTGAGTAGTGCATTTAAACTTCCTTGCAGGCTCCTTTCCAGTCTCTAGAGCTCTCTGCAGTGTAGTCTTTTTCTATGCTCGGTAGGCTTGATGAGAAGTTTATTCATAAGAAAAGTAACCTGTCTGTGAGTCTTTGTAGTGGTTCTTGTGCCTTTAGCCTTAGTGCTGCTTGAAAAACCATAGATGTTCTTACTTAGATCAGGAATCAACAATCAAGCGCCTACCATTTTTTGTAAATAAAGTTTTATTGGAAGATAGCCATGCTGATTTCTTTTACTTATTTTCTGCGAATGCCTTTGTCCTATAAGGAGAGAGCTGAGTGGTTGTGAAAACAAATGCATAACCCAAAAAGCCTAAAATAGGGTCTGGTCCTCTCCATAAAAAGCTTGCTGATGTCAAGGGACATTTAGCTAAAAGTGGCATAACATAGTCCAAAAGATAATATTCTGTGTCCTGTTAAGGTGATCAGTAATTGGGGTCTTAAAACTTGTAAGAAGCCTTCCAAGATTGTTTGAACGTCTAGTTCTTGCCCACCCAAAGCAAAAAAGAGTGAAGAAAATTAAAAACTCAAGGAAATAGTCCAAAGGACTAATAGGTCATGTGAACCCCAGCTTCCACTAGCCTGAGTCTAGAAGAAGTAGTTGATGCCCAGCTTCTGCTACTAGCTCCTCTGATCAGAGTCACAATAGAAGGTCCTGCACCAGGGGAGGGAGAGAGAAAAATGTAGATCTGAAATCAGAAAATAAACTAGTCATTGGTCTTTCAGAGATTTATGGAACCCCTGAAACTAGGGTCTTTAGATGCCCTTTAAATGTGAAATTGAATTTGCTCCCAGAGATCACCTTTTACCCAAATAGTAGACAGACCGATAAAATGAATAGTAACAGTTGAGAGGAATGTGTTCTTCAGAATAATCAAATATAACCAAAAGAGCAGCATTTACCCCCAAACAAAATTTAGAGGTCAGGAAGAGGCAGGAAAGAAGGTGCTGAGTTTGGGATTTGGTTTTGTTTGGGTTGTTTTCTTTTTTTTTTTTTGTTTGGTTTTTTTGTTTTGGGATTTTGTGGGGGTTTTTTCCCATTTTCATTGTTATTCGAGTGAGAAAGTTTACAAAGAATATTGGTTTTTCATTCAACCATTATTCATATTTTATAATGTTAATTGCAATACCTACAATGTGATTAGGCTTTTTCTTACTTCTCTCTATAGCTCTGATTTCTATTATTTCAACTCCTTCTTGCCTTCTGGGCTTTATGGCCAAATGCTGCTCATGTGACCTGATATGACTGATTATTTATAGAGTGATGTATCCCTATATTAGGAGCTGATCTGTTGTTGAACCACAGGGGGAATTTTGTGTGAAGGGCTATAGTATCAAGGGTTGCACCAGTCTCATTCAGAGATGTACGCTTGGCCTTTTCTTTGTGTTTGAGTTTTGTTTCACATTTCACCCTCCTCTATCCAGAATCTTCTACTATGATCTCTTTTTTTTTTTTTAAATTTTATTCTTTTGTGTGTGTGTACCGTCAAATTGGATCTGACTAGTATAGGAGGAGATTACCCCCCTTCTCCAGCAGAGCATATGATGGATTCAAACAGCATACTTCTGGGATTGCAGTGCAGCTTCTTACCACTAGGCTACCAGAGCTCCCTTACCATGACCTCTTTTTTAAAAAAAAAATTTATTTTATTATTTTGTGTGTCTTGTGTTTGTGTGTGTACCATCAAATCAGATCTGACTGGTACAGGAGGAGATTGTTCCTCCTTCTCCAGCAGAGCATCTGGTGGATTTGAACCGTGCACCGCTGGGATTGCAGTACACCGTCTTGCCACTGGCTACCATGATCTCTTTAAGGTGGTCAATGGTAGTAGCCAGGCCCCTTCCAACTTTTCTGGCTTCAGGGTTGTGGAAATCGAGGTTTATGTGAAACCGTGATAAAAGTTTTCTTTTTAAAAACAAAAATACCCGAAGTTTTGTTTACTCTTAACATAGATAAAATTTTAGTGCGGTAAAACCAAATAGGGAGTGACTGGATTGGAGTCTATATAACATTTAGAGGTGCTCTGGTGGCTTAGAAGTAAGGAGTTGGGCTGGCAAACCAAAGGCACATCGTTCAACTCCATCAGATGCTCTAGGAAAGAAAGATGAGCAATCTCCTTTTGTGCAATTTATTGCCTCTGACAACCCCCTAGAAGGTGAGCTATGAATTTGATTCCAACTTGAGAGTACATAACAACAACAACATAAAAAGTCTTGAAAATTTAGTGTGAATATCCATTTACATTGCTGCAGAAATAGTGTTTTTTATTATAAGAAGTGCTGCCTCAGACCCTATTAGGGTTATATAGTGACATACTATGATAGATAACACTGAATTACCTTTCTAAAACCCAGAAATTTCAGAATTCTGAAATACTTGGCTTGATGAGTTTCAGATAAAGGATTGTAGATCACTGCATCTGTTAAGTAAGTTGGAAGGTATTGTTCGTTTAAAAAAGAAATGTGAAATGCTTTTGTATTCTAGACAGTTTTTCACATTGTGTATGAAGTAATTTTGAAATTTAAAAAAAAAAAGTCTTGAAGAGAAGTGACTAGATTCTTGTCACTTTTTTCATCCTGGCATCTTTTTCAGACTTCTCAGAAAGGGACAGGGAACGAGGTTATTTTAGTCTCCTCTTACTGTCATTAAGCCCAACCTTAACTTTTCCTGACTTAGTGTGTATTTTCACTTTTTCTTTTATTTTAATTAACATTTACAGAGATTTTGGATTTTCATTCATTCATTGTTGCACTTTTTTCTTTATACCCCCCCCCCCCAGTTCGCTCCTCTCTTTGAAAAGCAAAAGATAAACTTCTTTGTTGGTATGCAGTCCCCCCTATCCCAATGTATTCCATTATGCAACCTTAATCCTGGATTACTGTGATTATCATAATATGCTATCATATATCACTTTTAAACTGTTCTCTCCCTCATCTGTTTCAATTCAGTATACATGAGAAGGTTATCCACACAATGCTAAGCCCTGCCTGAATCTTGGATTATTAAGGTTTTTTATTGATAAACACTCAAAAGGTGACTGTTACTAGAAATCTGGAATCCAGCATGTACTTTGAGAAAAGGAGGGTTTTGACAGGAGATCATAAACTACAGAGACCAGGGTCTTGGGTGGAGGAGTAACCTATTGTGACTCTATTGTAGCTCCAGTGACCAATCAGCCAGTGACCCCAAAGGCCCTGACGGCAGGACAGAACCGTCCCCACCCACCACACATCCCCAGCCATTTTCCTGAGTTCCCAGATCCCCACACCTACATTAAAACCCCGGTGAGTATAATATGGGAGAGATTGAAGAGCATTTTGCTGAGTGAACTAATTAGGTCTCATAAGGACAAATATTGCATAAGACCATTATTGTAAAAATAGAAGGCTTAGTAGTAAGATGTGTACAAAACTCCAAAGGGAGGAAGGAGGGGGGCTGAGGTTGTGGGGGAACCTCTTGAGATCACAAAGTTATGTGGGCAGAGTGAAGGGTTGAAGGAATTAGAAACAATCCAGTTATGGACATCAAAAGGTGGTGTAATGGTGGCTAGGGATCAGTGGTGATTAATTTTATAAAGTGCAACGTATGGGAATGAAACACAATGTGAATAGAGGAATGTGTGAAACATATATAAATGAAACACAAAAAAAACCCCACAAAACTCTGGTGAGATATGGAGCTGAGACTGACAAAGCAGAGGCAGTTTCTACTATCAGACCAGAAAGAGCCCCTAGGTGTAGTGCCATCAGATGCTCCACAGGAGAAGGGTGACGGCTTCCTTATTGAAAATTTTTCTTCTAACGCATGAAATAATTGCCATCTAGTCCTTAAGATTACAACAATTGGAAACCCATGGAGTACAGTCTTCTTGTAAAACATGGGGTCACCACTAAGTCTTATTTGACTCAATAGCAGTGGTTTAAGGAGTCAAGAGGAGATTACTAAAATAATATAAGTTAAAAGATAATCTCCTTGTTGAAAATCTGTTTGCTGCTTTTTAATGGGAAATACACAGTTGTCTCTGCTCTTTATTTTGGAAATCTTCATAAAATACTTGGTAGAATAAGTTGAGGGTCTGATTCCATGCTCAGTGTATTTTGACCCTTTTCATGAGGGTTGATTTAAGAAACAAGATGGTACCATCCACTAGTCCACTTAACCATCCCTTTATGTCCAGAACTAAGTAGCCCCTATCAGAGTCCGGGGGACAAAGGAGAGGTGGAAACGCCCACTTTTCTTTTAGATTACATCATTTGTCCTTGAGCCCAGCTGACATGAGAGCTGAATGATGGCTCAATAAAGAGGTTGCTCTTTATTAAGTATTTATACATTTCTTGATATGTCTGTTGTTTTTTCTCTGCCTTCCTATGCCCTTTGAAGATCACTGCTTAAGTAAATAGGAGTGAGTCATTTTAGAGAGTGGGAGACACACCAGGAGCAGAGGAACAGTCTGGAGAGCAGAGTGATGTATCACTTTTACTTGCATGTCTGGTGCTCTTGTCTTTTCAGACCTACCGTGAGCCTGTGTCGGACTACCAGGTCCTACGGGAGAAGGCTGCATCCCAGAGGCGCGATGTGGAGCGGGCACTCACCCGTTTCATGGCCAAGACAGGCGAGACCCAGAGTCTTTTCAAAGATGATGTCAGCACGTTTCCATGTGAGAGTTGGCCCCCTGTGGGCTCTGTCTTGTCATTTGAGATACTCATATCTTCTTCCTTTTCTCTCAGCATAGTAAGAAGCAACAAATAACCTTTTGTTCCTATCTCAGGTAAAGCTTGTTCTTCAGATTTCTAGGTCCCTTGTCCCTAATGATAACACTGAATCTGACAACCTCTAGTGAGATTGGCCATGTGAGGTATGAGGTATGGTCACCTCTAGGATAGCAGAGCCTTGACATTTGACAGGTTCCTACAGAAGTGGTGGCCCAGGAACAGAAGGAACACTGGCTCCAGGTCAGGATTGGCCACAGGGCTCTGCGTCTTACTTCATTTCTCCTCTCAGCATTGCAGTTTGGTCAACTCTCTACATTATTTCACCATCCTGTTGTCTACTGTGGGGTCAAGTCTGACTCACGGATAACCCCATGGAATAGATTAGAATCGGCATGTGGAATTTCCTAGGCTGTAGTCTTTACAAAGCAGACTGCCAGGTGTTTCTCTTGCAGAACTGTTACATGAATTGAACCATCAGGTTCTCGGTAGCCAGGTTCTTCACTTTTGTGCCATCTGGGTTCCTTAGGCCACATTTTCACAAAGGTGAATGAACGACATTGGTTCAGGCTATTCATTCATTCAACAGACTTCAGTTGAATGCCAGCTTTGTGTCTGCCCCAGGAATAATGGCAGCTAACATCACCAGGCCCAGTGCTGCTCGTTTGTTATGTTACCTCATTAAATTCTCTCATGAGCATATGAGTTTGAAACTGTTGTCACCATCATTATAGAGCATCAAGATGTAGGAGAAAGACAAATGAAGTCATGGAGCTAGTAGGTGACATTCAAGCCTAGCTTTTTCTGACTGTAGGACCCACATCTTGGTCACCTTGAAAGTAATCTTTGAGTATCTCTCGTGATTGCATCTCCCCACAGATGAATATGTAAATACTTCCCTTTCAAATTTTTTTTCTTTCTTTTTCAATAATTTCTCTCCCTCCTTGTTGGTTTTTGGAAGAACTGGACTCTCATTTATCTGAGAATCATGTAGCTCAGTGGCCATTATGTAGGGAATTCTCAAGTCCAGCATTTGGGCTTGAGTTCATCAGGTTGAGAGAATCACTATCCCTGCTCTAGAATTAAGACCTGGAGTTGTTATCATGGGTTCCAGATCATAGAGTGATGCTTTGCTAGGAAGAAGCTCCAGTTCCGACAGATTTCAGGTGTACTTGCTCAAAGTGTGGAAGTCCACACTGCCTGGGTTCAAATCCCACTCTGCAACTTTCTGTATGCTTAAGGAAGTTAACGTGTCTGTGCATTTGTGAAATGAGAATAGTAATTGTACTTAAAAGGATTGTTAGGGAGCTCTAGTGGTTAATGAATTGTGCTGCCAACCCAAAGGCTGGTAGTTCAAAGCCAGCAGTTGCTCCCTTCAGAAAGGATGGGTAGTCTCCTCCCATGTGATTTACAGCCTCTGAAAACCTGATGGAGATTTTCGGAGTCAACCCTAACCCAATAGCAATGAGAGAGAGAGAGAGAAGGAGAGAAAGATTATAGTAAGAATTAAAGCCATTGGATGTTACGTGGTCCAGAGTAGATCCCCCAGAACATGTTGACCAGCTTTGTTTTTCAGTAGTGCTTGCTGACTTATGAGGCTCAGGCCTGCTGCCAGGTCTCCATGACAGTAAGGATGGTCATGCCTCTCTCCTGTTCTTCCAGTGATTGCTGCCAGGCCATTCACCATCCCTTACCTGACGGCTCTTCTTCCATCTGAGCTGGAGATGCAGCAAATGGAAGAGACGGATTCCTCAGAGCAGGATGAGCAGACAGACACAGAGAACCTCCCTCTTCACATCAGTACGGTAGGTCTTGCCTTGTGTCTGCCTCAGACAGCATAACCCCCAGACTAGCATACTGTTCCCAGCTGTCACCTTGAGACATGACCTACCTGAAGTTTCTGACTTTATACTGGATGCTTGCATGATGAATCCTTAATGATCCAGGTGTGACCTGATTTCCATCTTGAGAGCAATCCACATCCTAGAGATACAGTCATTCATTCTAAAGATATGGAAATGTGCATCTGCCAGGGCCAAGCGCAGTTCCAAGATTAGAAAAATTCCTTACCCTAGTGGAGCAAACGAAAAAGATTAGGAGATAAGTGTGTATAGAGAATAGGAGAGGGGTGGGTGGTGTGGCTTAACACAGGGTGACTTGAGAAGGTGACATTTGAGTAAAGCACTCAGAAAAGAAGGCTTAGAATTCTCTGACTAGCGTATTCTGGACAGAGGGAATAGCCAGTGCAAAGGCCCTGAGTTCAGAAGGTGTTGTGTTGAAGAACAGCTGGGGTGCCAGGGAGGCAAGAGTGGACAGAAGTTTTGGTCCCGGGTTTCGGCACCAAAAAACAACAACAAAAAAAGAGTGGACAGAAGTGAGAAATGTAGGAGATAATGAGTCAGAGGGCTCTTGGAGGAAGTCAGGGTCTCAAAGGGAGCATTAAAGAGAAATCGCAGTCAGTGAATATAGACTTGCACAGTCCTCTAAAATACCTGCTAATGTGTTATTTATGTTTACTCAAAATTAAAGAAAATTATTCAGTTCCTCAGTCACACTAGCCACATTTCAGGTGCTTAGAAACATGTGACCAAGGAGTCTGAACTAGATTTCTCATGAGCAGTTCTTGTGTAGAGAGTTGTTTCAAGGAGTGTAAAGGGAAGGAGAGAAATAGAGTAGGCACTGGAAGGAGAAATTGAGAAATTAAGAGGACATTTTGGTTGTGTTTTCATGATAAAAGAACAGCACATATGTGTGATGATAACAGTAATATGATAGGAAAAACTGATGCAGGAGAGAGAAGAGCTTTAGAGCAAAGTCATTTGGGAGGTGAGAGAGGATGCAATAGAGTGTCCAAGGGGAGGAGTTAGCTTTGTATGGTGATTGATACCATGTCCAGGACAGGAGGTTGTATGTATGGTGCAGAGACAAAGGAACAGAGTAAAGAACTGAAAATAAATGGAAATGTCAATATTTCATTTATTGCATGACTCACAATAAACAGAAAAGACTCCACACATACACAGTATTATTCTACATATAGGAAAGTGGCAAATCATAGAACACAGAAACTAGTAGAGGCTCCAGTGCTTTTAATATCTGCAGGACCCTCATCAGCTGTACTTTAAAATTGGCCTCTCTCATACTGTTTTGGAGATCCTGGGTTTTTATTCTCTCAGGGTGTAAATGACTGGAAGTCCATACTCAGTGTACTGTAGGGGAGGGCCTTCTCTGTCTTGTTCTATAGGAAAGGCCTTGTTTCCTTCAGCAACTATAGGCCCAGTGCTCATTGCAGATCTCCAGATGCCTTGGCCTTCTCCAGTATCCCAGTATCTGTAGTATCCAGGGGCCTGCGTCCCAGAGGACACACTCCACTTCTAGGAGTCATTCCTTAGTGGTACCTGGGTCTCTGCCCACCATGCAGTTCACTTTCCTCCTCTTTCATTGCATAGCCCACACTCTAGGGAACCTTCCCTTACTGTGATGGGATTAAAGAGGGTTACCATCTGACCTTAATTCTTTTATCACTGTTTGCTTTATCAAATTATGGGAGATTGTTATAAAGCTTCCACATTCTATCATTACATGTATTTTGAAGGGTCACCATTCAATCTGTGACCCCTGACTTCAAGTCCAGACTGTTACTTGCCAGCTGTGTGTGTGTGACTCTGGTTGTGTTATCTAACTTCTAAGTCGGCTTCCTCACAAGTACAGGAACTAGAACTGGCTTGTAGCTGATCCTCCAGCAAGTATTTGGAGACTGTAAATCACAAGGGAAGAGACTGCCCTGCAGAGCGACTGGTGGATTCAAAGCACCAGAGAAACACTCTTTAGACTTAACAGTGAAATTCCCTACAGACTACACTACCGGAGCTCCTTTTGTATAATTCCAGATAGGAATAGGAAAACCTGCCTTCAGGAAGGAAGAGTAAGGGCTGAAAAAATGAGGAAATAGATACTGTAAAACCTTGGGAACCTTTGGAAGGCAGAAGCCTGTCTGAAGGAAAATGCAAATATTCAACAAGTGATAGAAAATTGTTAAGACTGCACCCTGTCAGAGATGGAGAAAATTGGAAAATGTAGACAACGAGGAGGTCTTGTCTAGCTCTGCACACAGCACATCAGGTTCCCACTGGACAGTTTCCATACAAATGATTCTCCATATTACATTTCCCATGGTATGTTGGCATCCTCTTGTTTGTTCCATTTCTAGTGTCTAGTTTTCTGGTCATCTTATTTCTGCTTTAGAATAATTGTTGACTTTTTGGTCCTCTGCTTTTTTCAGGCCATTAAACCATACTCTTTTTACGTGTTGCGTTGGGTATGTTTGCTTCAAGAAAATTCTGTCAACAATTTAATTCCTTGGTCTTCACAGTTTTTTGATGTTACTTTGTTGGACTGGGAAGCACAAGCAGATGTTTCTAAATGCAAATGCACAGAAAGAGGAACTGTCATTAAAACTAATAAAATTTAATAATAAAAAAAAAAAAAGAAAGAGGAACTGGTGGCAATTCCCCTTCCCAAACCCTGCTTCTCTTCATCCAATTTTCCTCCCACAAAACCACCACTGTCACCAGTTTGTGCAGTTTCTCGGGCCCTTGGTTTTGTTGTTTTAAACACAAACAGTAGCAAATCACTAATCGTTCTTCTCTTACCTTTTTTCTCTTTATCCCTCTTTCTTGATGTTCATTATGTATCTAAGGCACCCTTCATCCTTCCATTTTCATGGTACTCTGTTGCATTGCTGGGACAGTTTAATAGCTTATTACCTGTAGACATGTTCATTGTTTTCTATATTATACATTTACAGATATTGAGACATGAATTAAAGAACTGTTGTTTTTCAGCTATACTTGTTTTTGTCAATTAATAACTGCATGGCCCTCTAGGCCTCTTGCTAAGTAGTACTTTAATTCTAGTTACTCCATGTGCATTTTAAATGAGCGCATGATCAAGTTTTTCTTTCATATATTTGAATTAACAACCTTCTGCAGACAATCCAAATGTACACCATTTTACTTTCTAAGGGAAAGTGTGCCAGTCACTATTTTATAACAAGAATTTCTTTAGCCCCTGATAAGGACCTGGTGGGGAACTCTGGTGGCGTAGTCTATAGCAAGTTGTACCAGGTTCAAATCCATCAGCAACTGGCAGAAATATGGGCAATTTCCTCCTATTCTAGTTTCCTTGAAAGCCTGACGGAGGGTCACTATAAGTCAGAAGGGACCAGATAACAGTGAGTGTTTTTGTTTTTGGTATTTTGGTTTTTTTTTTTATTGTGTGAGTGTACCGTCAAATCGGATCTGACTGGTACAGGAGGAGATTGTCCCTCCTTCCCCGGCAGAGCATCTGGTGGATTCGAACCTTGTGCCTTTTGGATTGTAGTTGCAGCTCCTTGCCACTAACAGTGAGGTTTGGGGCTCTATAAAATCAGCCCCTGAAAACCTGACGCCTGTGGAGCACATTTCCGTCTATGGAGCACGGTTCTACTCAGACTGCCAGCATGGCTTGAGATACAGTTGTGAACACAACTTCTGTCAATGTGGGAAACGTGTGTAGGCAGTGAGAAAACCACATGCTGGTGTGTTGTGTGCTGTGGAGTCAGCACCAACCTAGAGCTGACCCTTCAGCGGGTTTTCTGAGGCAGTAAATCACATGGGAGGAGATTGCCCGCCCCACACTCATGGAGCAGCTGGCAGGTTCAAACTGCATGCCTTTGGGATTCAAACTGGGCCACTAGAGCTCCTGTGAAAATGACATAGTGTATAAATTAATAGTTCACAATATATTAAAAGTGAAAGAGCTGTGGGCAGGAAATAGAGCAGATCTAGGATGAGGGGTTGTTGAGCAGGTAACATGTAAGCAGAGGTTTGAAGGAGGTGAGGGGTGAGCTGTTTAGATTTCCAGGGAAGAGTTTGGTAGAGGGAACTGCTAGTGCAAAGGCTGTAAAGAGCAACATTAGGCAGGTATGCCTGTTACTGAGAGGGAAAAGAAAGGGTTGGAGAAGCTAGGGCTTTATAGGCTATTTCTAAAATGGCATTAAATCTGGGTCTGATGTTCATGCCTGAGACCAACTGTCCTTCTGTGACCACTGGCCTCCTGAAGGGAACCACCTCTTCTTTCTGCACTGTCTAGTCACAGCATCCTATACCCTGTTGTCATTTTTGGTGGCCAGCGCTTTTGGCTAAGGTCATCTTTTCCTTCAAGGTGTAGAGCATACATCTCAGCTATGTTTTTTGATGGAACCCTGACCCATCAGCAGGGGGCGCAGTCTATGCAGCTCCATCATTTGGTCATTCACTCACTCACTACATGGCATCAGAACTGACTCATAAATTCTTCAGTGAGTTTTTGGAGGCTGTAAATGGCCTGGAAGGAGATTGCCCATCTTTCACAGAGCTGCTGTGGATTCAGATCACCAGGGATGTGCCACCTTTGGGTTGACAGTGCAGCTCTCTATGGACTACATCACCAGCACTCCCTTTTGGTCAATAGACTTGAGCTGCTAGTTTTTGATGTGACCTCTCACCCCTGCGAATTAAGTTAGAGAATTCTGATTCCTAACAACCCAGTAGGACGGAGTGCATCTGCTTGATAGTGTTTCCAAGACTGTAACTCTTTATAGAAACAGGCTGTCTCATCATCCTCCCTAACCCACAGCCTCACTGGAGGTCGTTTTGGAAAATTTAAACCAAAAACAGACCAAACCCACTCCCATTGAGTCTGTTCCGACTCAAGCACCCTCTCTCCACTGGAAAGACCGCCCATTAGGTTTCTGAGAAAGATATGATAGCCTGCTGATGAGAAG